CTACTATTCTCATTGCTAAATATAAAAAAAAAGATGATGCATCAACACTGTCAATTCCCTTTACAATCTTAAACACCTTAATCAGATCCCCTCTAACTCTTCTTTTTTCAAGAGAAAACAATTTGAAAGATTTCAGCCTCTCCTCATATGACAATTACACCATATGACTATTACACCAAGATCCCTTTCCTTCATAACACTATTAAGGTTATTCCCATCCAAATTATACATATAATTCAAATTATGATAACCCACATGCATTAACTTGCATTTATTATAATAAAAAACATCTGCTTTTTATTTGCCCAACTCACTAAATGATCTCAATCCTTTTGTAAATCAGCAGCATCCTCTTCACAGCTAGCAACACCCAATACCTTAATATCATCTACAAATTTAAGTAATTTATTGACTATTCATTCATCTATGTCATTGATGTAAATCGAAAAGAACAAAGGTCCTAAGACTAAGTCCTGAGGTACCCCACTTGTGACATTAATTCAGTTTGACCAAACTCCTTTGTAACAACCTCCTGCTTTCTTCCATCCAACTACTCTTCTATCCAATTTGCTAACTTATCCCCCACACCTATGGAGCTAATTTTTTAAAAGCCTTTTATGTGGCACCTTGTCAAATGCTTTCTGAAAATCCAGATACACCAAATCTACACCCTTACCCTCATCTACATAAGCAGTAACCTTTTCAAAGAACGTTAAAAGATTTGTAAGGCAAGATTTTCTCTTAGTGACTATCCAATAAAATTCTAAGCTTTGTTAAATGATTGTGCAAATCTTCTTTTAACAAACATTCCAAAACTTTTCCCACAACTCATGTAAGACTAATAGGTCTATAATTACCGGGACAATTTTTATTACCTTCCTTGAAAAGAGGAGTTACATTAGTTAACTTCTAGTCATGTGGTACCTGCCCACTATTCAAGGACTGACAAAAAGTAGTAGTAAGTAGCTCACATATCCAATCTTTAATCTCCTTCAAAACCCTTGGGGAAATATTATCTAGCCCAGGAGCCTTACTGTTTTTTAATTTTCCCAATTTTTTCTTAACCAGATCAGAATTAATGCAGTGATAGATTGGTAGAATCAAATACAGGAGGTTGTGTTGTACTCCTATTGGTGGAGAGTTGTCACATGACAATTTGCATGCGAGATGCTGTGGAACCACAATAATTGTGGGGGATGGGAGTGCAAGGCTTGTAGCATGCAGAAAAATTTTTTGCAAATAGAAGATAACACTGAATGAGCATAGCTATATATTTGAATAGAGGTAATGTACCATATCTGAAATTCTTCTCAACAATAATAACAAAGTCTTAAACTAACAATTTCTTTAGTAAGACAAGCTGAGTAAGAAGACAATCTCCAGCACACTACGAAGCACTTATTAATGAAACAAAATGAAATTTGAATTATAATACTCTCATGTGAAAAGCTGGATACAGGTTTCTGTATTTAGAAGATAAAAGAGCCTAGAGTGATCAAATGGTGCCTTGTTATCATTTGAAATGAAGTTGAGCATCCTTATTTGAAAATATAGATGAACAATTGAGCTCTTGATATGCAAGCAGCTGTTAAGTTTTTTTCTAGAATTCATTGTGAAAGAATGTTAAAAATGAGGGGATTAGGGTTTATGAAAATAAAAAACAGAAGGTGTTATTAAAAAACAGTTGAGGCCTTGTTACTGTAGCTCTGTGGAATGCAAATGAGTTAGAGTACCTGATGGGAAAAAGATCAATGATGAACACTATATTATTTCGTAGGTCACTAACCCAAATTAATGGCAATGACAAAGATATACCATGCCACTAAGGTTCTGCTACTGCTAGAACAAGTTTTGTTTAACAGCAGACTTTAACTTGAAGGGAAAAATTATCAGGTTAACCTTAGTTTCCACAAAAGGTTTAATGTTACAGTAGCTGTTCAGTAAGATCCATTTAAGACTTTATTTGGAAAATTCTACACAAATATGATAAAGACTCACACTAGCAGTTCCAAACACTTTCACACTAAGTCAACTGTATGGTTAAAATCAGTTCAATCAAATTAAATCCATTTAATTGTAAGGCTTCTGGAATTATGGAGATAAGTTGTCCTTTAGAATACATCTTTTTTTTTTCTGTAATTAGATTAACTGAAGTAAATACAACTTGAAGACAATCTATAAATTATTTACATAATTTAACTCCTTATCAATTATGATTTATATACTGTCTGTTCTTCTGCTCTACAACTTCTACATTTTCCTCTTCTTCCTTTATACTTTTTCTTCCTCTCATTTGATATATTATCACATATTATTGCTAGAGTTCAAACATATTTTCCAATCTTATTTTGATTTTATATATTGTTCCATCCCCCTTCCTTTTATACTTTTATAATAGTTACAATACACTTATCAATTCTTCTGTTTTTAACTATTACCTCCTTAACCTTTTTTCTATCTTTTCAACTTCTCCTTCAGCTATCATCCCACATTTTTTAGGATTTCCACTTTCCTCAAATATTCTCTTTACGTCTTATCCTGATCAATTTCTTTTATCGCTTCCCATTTCTTTGGCTATTACTTTAAAACAATATTTTGGTTACCTTCATTTCCTCATCTTCAATATGTCCATATGTTTATAGTTATACACCAGGTGTTGAATTAATCACGAACTTCGTCTACCTGGAGTTTAAACTTTTATTTTAAAGGTGGAACGCTAAGCTCCTCCGTAATTAGTGTTTTAGCAGTGCTCCCTAGCGGGACAGTGAAAGGTCTACGAACTAAAATCTGGTGTTCCATAGCCTATTTGTGTAGCTTTGCGCCAAATCAAAGAAAGATGAAATTTAAAACTCATTATCAATTCTTCACTAAAAAAGATATAATATATATATTTGCTAATAAAATTGTTAATTGGTGTTAAATAAGGCTAAAGTGCGAAGAGTTTCCGTCTCTACATGCCATGCTATACTGTTATTCAGTACAAGTCCTCCTTTGTGTAATAGATTATTTTTTGTTCTGTTTGATTTATATTACTTATTATTCGATTTACTTGTATTGAGTTTCTTATTTTCTTTCAACATTATTTAATTTATTGTCCTTATTTCCTGTTCTTAGTTTTAAATAAATGTATTTTATGTATTTTTTTGGTATTCTTAAATAAAATTAATTTCTTTACAAGCATTCCCCGGTGGCTCAGCGGCAAGTCTGGGGTTAATACGGCTACTATCGAGTTTCGATAACCGTGGTGGGTGGTGCACAGATGGCCCATTGTACATTTGCGCTTAACAACAAACAAACCTCAAAAGTATCAAATAGATCCACTTAATAACGAGAGGATCGAACAAGAAGTTTATAAAGTAATTTGAATTTGAAAACCGACTGAGTTTTAAACTGTTTCAGAAATATGGAGATTGTGCACGCGTGATGGAAAGTGAAAATAAATCTATATTATCCTACGATGAACTATCGTGTGATATATCATACCCAAAATAAATCAAGTTTCAGGTCCTCCCAAACTTATATTTTATGGTATGTGTGTAAAATATTTTTATTGGAAAAGTAATTTTGGGTGTATAATAATATTTTACACTGTTGCAGATTTTATTCAGTTTTCTAGTTTACAGCATAAAGGGCATTTGATGAAGATGGCATCAAAGAAGTATGTGATTTTGGACCGAAGTTAATATTTTTTAAATAACCTTATAGTTTATTTACAATTATAGTTATTAGAAATGTGAATACTAAGCTTTGTTTGTATAATGACCAGACCTATAAGGTACTCTAGCAAAAATATGGTGTCTCCTAATTTATTTGTTGTTGGAATAAAGGAATTTAAAATTTGTAGTATGATATTTCATGCGATAGTCTTTCACGGGTGTATAATTAACCTAAATTTTCAAGCACCTTTATTTATGCAACTTTCTTTTTTCTTTTTTTCATTTCTAATGATTACTTTTATGCTATTATCTTCATAACAGATAGATATTTTAAAGGGCATGTTATCTAGTATAACTTCATTTTTCCAGGAGGATATTTTGGAGTTTGCCAAACGCCATTGCTCTAACGTTGCTTTTAGTGTTTACACTGTTTATGTTTTACTTGTACCTCTTACTAGAGAAAAGGACTCTAATGTAGATGGTGCATATATATCATATGAAGTTTTCGATATTTCAGAAAACAACCTCCACTATCTTGGGAAGAAAACCCTTGCTTAACCATCAGAAATTACTTTGCAGATGAAAGAACACGAATATTGTGAATTGGGCAAGTTCTAACTACTGCTGAAAGTATCATAATTGTACACTTTCTTATTTTTATTTTCATTTTTTCTAATGTTTACTTTCTTTGTGATATAATATTAATCTATAATACAATTTTAATTCTTAAATGTTTCTAAGTTCTGTATTTTCTTTTTCAGTCACCAGCTACCAGCGTTCCAGGGCCTTCTACACCTACTGCTGCAGGGCCTTCAAGAAAGTGCTAAACAGCTTTTTTTCATGAAGCAAAATCTGATTTGGTGTGATTCAGACAGAAACTCTACATGCTGCTGTTCATAAATTTTCACTGGATGACATTCCTCCAGCTATTGTCACAAAATTATTGACTGATGATGTTTAACCAGTAAAGATATTTTAGTTGTTTTGGATGGAACGTATAGATATAACCCTCTCGGCCAGTGAAAGACTTGCTGTCGTTGTCCCTTTCTTACACCAATGTATTGTTACGACAGCGGAAGTCACGTGACGCTGGTAACACGTAATAATTATCTCGAACGTTCCTGAAGGCTCGAGTGTTTGCCAGACGCCCTCTATTTGGTATATATAAGACTGACGAGAAGTGACGAGATAGATAATTGAATAGCAGACAGTGAGATAGAGACAGATAATCGATCAAG